GCAGGTTTTTCCGGGTTTTCCTGCAGCTGAAAAAGCAAATGCGCCACTGGAGTCAGTGAAGTCGCTCCGTGGCTCCAATTAATTTTTGTTGTTGGTTTATAATTTCATGATTTGTATTTTGGAAGTGTTATTTCATATTCATCGAACCAAATAATTATCATATATTCTTCATTTCTGTATTTTATTGAATATACGTGATATTAATATTCCATGTGTGACGTCAAAGAAAGTTTTTGTCAAAAATGAAATCATTAAATCAACTGCAACTTCATAATATCAAATGGAAACGATCAAATCTATACACAGGAAAATGTAGCAATTGAGTTCAAAAACGAGTTAAGTCACAATAATGTTGATATTGATATAAAGCATATTTTATTTTTTATAATTCCTTTATAGAAAACTGAAAATCATTTACAATACTCCTATATCTTTCAGAGGTTTCTAAAAATTTTTGATTTCATTGAGAAACATCCATTTTTTTAGTTTTTTGCATCTGCAAAATTTGTTGTTCATAATGGTCTTTTTATGTAATTTTATTTTTTTGTTTCTGTGAAGAGAAAAGAAATGAAAACCTCCACTACATGAACTATTTCTTCACACAAAACATGTTAGATAAACGACAACCAAAAAAAAATAGAATTCATCATCATTATCAACCATTTGCCTCCAGCTGAAATAAAGTACTCTTTTTGGAGCAGTGAGAAAACATCAACAATAACAGCAACAACATGTTATAGCAACAACAATGTAAATCATAAGAAAGTTATACAGACAATGATTCATTATCTGTGAGGTAAAAGTAAAGCTTTATTTATTTCTTCTGAACACAGTCTGTGTAACTTTCACGTTTTACGTATATAACTTTATCGAATATCTTCTATCTACAACGCATACATCGTTTATATATGCTAATTCGATTCCAATCAAAAGTTCATCATTGGCAAAATATGAAAGTCAGATTCAGCAAATGGCGGTTAAGATCATAACTGTTTTCAGATGTTATAACCGAGATTTTTCAACATGATTTTCATTCAGTTTACCAGTAAAATTTCAAGACGTTTTATTCAACGATATTTCAACTGATTGACTGAATAATTCAAGTCGACTCGATAAACTGAATTGAGTGAAGTTTCCTGATTATGTCGACATTGATACAACCTATTTGAAACAAAACCCAACAGAATCATAAATAACAGATTCTTCAGTGACAGATCATGATCATTCGAAATGAAGCGATTTCGTGGCATTATTGACTAACAATATTGTGACAGTTTTCTGGTAGTTCAATATATGTTTAGAATGTTACAAGTTGTTCAATGAGGAAAAAAATTTCGAATTTCTTTAAGAATGTCGTTTCTCACCGTTGTATTCAAACAATAAACATTCGGAATTCCAAATTCAAATATGGACTGTTGAAATATGCGTTTGTTACATTTTTCCTGTTTTACTCTTCTGTTGTTTCTATACTTTTAGTACTTTTTGGAATTTGCCTTAGCTTTACTTGATATTTGTTTGTCCTTCTGAAAATATGTTTGCAGTCTATTCTTATTTCATTGTGTAAGTGTTTTAAATACGAAACTGGTTGAAAAATTATTGACTGACTGATTGAAAAGAACTAGTTTCGGAATACCAATTTAATTTTCGAATTAACGGAAATTTTCAAAATTTTGAGTTTAAAAATTTACAAAAATATTGATGTTGACAGAATTTCGATGGTAATATATACTCCCTTCAAACTCCTTGTCCTACAACTTTTTCATCGTATTTTCATTGAAGAAAACAATTTATGATAATAAAAATAACTTTCAATACAAAGTTATCTGTTATATGTACCGAAATCTCATCAAGTCATCATACTTGTTATTGTTATTTTTTTTTTTGGTACCCACCTTTATTTGTGAAGGTCAAGAATGCAAGGAGAAAAATGAGGGAGTGAGGAGAGGAAGAGAGAGATAGGGAGAAAGGGAGATCTTTCCGAATTTGACTTTCTTTACTCATTTTTCTTTCTCACTTCTTGTTGCCAATTGACCAGAATGTCCATTTGAGTAGTTAACTTTTGACTACCCAAATGAAAAATTCCCCAACTTATGTTTTAGAATTTATGGATTTTCATCAAGTGCCAATTCCATCATATACGAGTTCCGGCTATTAAATAACGAGGCTGGTTAAGAAAAAGGGTTTCACTATAAAAATTGTTATATATTCGAGTGCTCCCTTTCAATATACCCCCCTATCCTTGTCACACACCTTTCCGTACGTTTTATCCATTGCTTTAAGCAGTGCTGGAAGTATTTTTTAGTGAGGCACTTTAGGAGCTCTGCCGTTTTTTGCTTTACCGCTTCCATCGACTCAAATCGAGTCCTTTTCAAAGCAGATCTTATCTTCTGAAACAAAAAAAGTCGCACGGTGCCAAATCTGGCGAGTACTGCGCATGTTCAAGCACTGGAGTGCCTTTATCGGCCAAATACAGCTTCACAGATAGCGCGTTATGGGCAGGTTATTCTTCCAGACCTAGGGCCGTTTCTTACCAACTCGTTCTGGCAGTGTAGTCAAAACTGACAAATAGTGAGTCTGGTTGACAGGCTGACCCTTTGAAACCCATTCAGTCATCACGATACCGTTAACGTCGAAAAAAACACATGGTTTTCGGCACGAGAAAGAAACACGTTTGTTTCAAACCGCTACTGCATAAATAATATAATAGTGACGAAAACGTGTTTTTGTATGTGAATATAGAAGATTTTCAGATACCCAAAGCACTACTCGTTTTTTCCCCACCCTTCTAGAGCGCCCTAGGCGCGCAGTCTCGTTATTTATAAGCTGGACTTCGTATGTTGCAGAATTATATTGTTATTACAATTAAATTATTAAAAAAACAATTCGAGAGAAAGAGGTGAGATATATTGCATAGAAAATGTATCTAATCATAGTCATATGGTGATAAAAAAATGTACAAATGTCAATCAAGACGTGAGGAAATTCGATAATCCAATATCTATGTTTTTGAATCTACTAACAAATGAAAAAATTGAATAAATTACAGACAATCTTAACTTCAAGAAAGCAACAGGCTTTGATGAAATTCCTATATAAATTCTTAGAATAGAATATATTTGAAAAAGGATGAATTCATGAAAGATATCAATACTAGTATTTCTTGTATGAAGGGTGCTTTAATAAAATCGTTTGCAGAAGTCATCAAGAAGTTGTGGTCAGAAGATTCATTTGATAAAGTAGTAAATACAGCCTCCTTAAAAAATCAGATTCAAAGTTTTGCTCCTCGATTCATGGGTAATTCCCATCAAGACGCCCAGGAGTTTCTCCATTATCTTTTAGAAGAGGTTAATATAATTAATGAGATACCTAAACCAATTTTAACGGAGATTGACGAAAAATTGAGCGACAGCGGAAATGCACAAGAGTCATGGCTCACATATTTGAGGATGCATAACTCTAAGATTGTAGATAATTTCGTTGGCCAATTGAAATAAGTGGGACTACTAACAGAGGACATTATACAGCATACTGCAGACACCCGTATACTATCGCGTGGCACAAATACAACGATTCACACGTGTCACCAATTTCACCAAAGTCGCTTGTGAGTGGAGAAACATACGTCCTTTTTTATGTAAAGGAGGGAACAAAATCGCGCCTTTAAGATAACCGAGGGAAAGTTTCTTTGTGCAATTATTATTTATTTTTTGTTAATTTCTTACATAGTAGAACTTAATATTGTGATTTTTTAATAAGTCAGTATGAGTCGAGAACAGTTGCAATAAATATATCTCTTAGAATAGTTGAATCTGATGAATCATCAATTTAGAACGTTTTGTGGAAAACTTGAAAATCAAAATTTTGAATGTAAATATCTGAGGATCTTTTGTTTGAAGGTGGTTGACAATGTTTCGTGGTGTATTTCATCAGTTCGGGTTTCCATATAATATAAATTGATTTGATAACCCTGAAAAAATCAAAAAGATTAACCGAAAATAAATATTTTATTAATCAAAAAACTGAAATTACAAAGAAATAACATACAACAACAACTGATATCACCCAAAGACGAATGTGGATACTAACAATCGAAACGTTGTGACATAACTTGGTGAAAAATCTTTTAATTTTTATTTTTCCATTTTTTGTAAATAATATTTTTGATTTTTTCCATTTTTTCAGCTTTTATTAATATTTCAATTTTTATTTGTTTGGTTGTTGTTGTATGTTATTTCTTTGTAATTTCAGTTTTTTGTTTAATAAAATTGTTATTTTCGGTTAATCTTTTTTATTTTTTCAGGGTTATCAAATCAATTTATATTATATCAGACAAAGGAAGTCCGAACTGAAGAAATATCTGGTGATCTGTGCTATCTGTGGATTTTGACTAGGCTTTCGACATAGTCAATCACCAAAATGTCTCAAGTGATCTCCACAATAAAGGAATGGGAGGTAACAGATACTATGTTCACTTCTAATGAAAATTATTTTAAAATAAAAAGACAGTTTGATTGAGAGACGAGAGTTTCATTAATTGCATTTTTGTGGTGTTCAACAGAGTTCTGTTTCCAGAATTACGTATTGTTTACAATTTAAGAAACCTGAAACTACACTTTGTTTTTTCTACGTACTTCAGATTACCAGATGAAACAACTGAATATATGAATATTTCTTTAAAATAATGAAAAAATTATATTTCAACATAATTTATTTTATTAGATCTATCTTCTCGATGTTGTTGTTTCCTGTAAGCGCTTGATGAAAATGTTACTTTGGAAAGTGTTAGAAGTGTGCTCTTCCATATATAAATTACGTAAATGACTGAAAAAATCGTTATGAATAACTTTGTAGCCTCCCATAGTACATAAATTTTAAAAAAAACACTTTTTCCTATTGAGTTCGTTAATAATTTCCTCAACTGGATACTAGGTCGTTCAAGGTCAGGAAAATTCATACTACCTTCAAGATATATTTTCATTAACTTAAAAGAGGTATTCAGATTCATGTTATTTGTGGCAAACAATGTCAACTTTTCGAGAATTTGAGAACCTTTCCAGTTTCTGAGTTTCAACATACACAATGTCAAACTGATATTTCACACCAATTTTAATAAATCGAATTTCTGAAATATCTGAAACTACCACGTCAAGAGCTTTGGACTCAGTTCAGGATTTTGCCGATGATAAAGACCTTTTGTTTGAAATTTTCCCCTTTCATGAAGTCTATAATGGTATTGAGTAGTCACTGAAACTAATCAACAATGCACCACAATCATAAGAGTTCATTTTATTATCAGGCAATACAAAATTATACGGATATACTGAGCGAGTTTTTCATAAAAGTTGTTCTCAGTACTTGGTGTTGTTAATTTGTGCAAATTTTACTTCGATCACAGCACAGTTTCCATTTCTGCTATTTCCGTTCGGCGACTGAAACAAAAAGAATTGTTTGAGCTGAAATGAGTTTGACAGAACAGTATTCACGATATGATCATTTCTGAATTTTTGGGACACACAAGAAACATCAGAGACAATTATCGCTGAAGAAGCACAAACAGTTTCAATTTACTTTTTCAGGAACTCTTATCTTTCATAATCTAAAAAAAATAAATGTTTGTTGAAGGGGAACTTCAGGTTCAGTTATTGCGTGATATCGAAGAGAAATGCTAAACCTTTAATGAGGGAAAATTTTGGAAAAAAAAACGTATTTGTTATTTAAAATAATTTCCTTGCAGCTCTATACACTTTTCCCAGCGATGTTTAATAAGTTTGATACCGTTTTCATAATAAGAACTGTCTTGCGGTTAAATCTGTTCCATTTGCTTTTCCATTAACCAGCTTTCGCCCCTCTACGAACGACAACTCTCAAAAGTCGAATCTTGTGCAAGCTAAGGACTAACGGGGTCTTACCTTTTAACGTGTGATTCCTAACACGGTTTGAACGATAGAAAGTGAAAGTCGATCGTCCGGCCTTGCGGTTCGAACCACCGGTTCGCACAACGTTCGATTGACTGAGTAGAGCTGACTACCCACGTCAACCTGTCAGGCTATTGTCCCCTTAAAAATATCTATCAACTGCTGATATCATTTTCTCATCATTGGAAAATCTGTGACCAATGTGTCATTTTTTCAAGTTAGGGAACAGAAAATAATTCGAAGGGGTTAAATCTGACGAATAGGTTGCATGAGGTAGCAATTCAAACTTCAATTCGTTAATTTTGGTCATTGCGACAATGTGATTTCTTCTTAGCTAAATGTAGCCGTTTTTGCTTGATTACTTCAATCAAACATTGCAATAAGTTCGCATAATATCCGCCGTTGACAGTTTAACCTTTTTTAAAATAAAAATGTAAATCATTTCACGCGCATCCCAAAAAACCGATGTCATAGCCTTGCCTGCATAGGAAAAGGTATTGGCCTTTTTCGGAGCCGGTTCTCTCTGTTGAGTTCACTGTTTTCATTGTTCTTTTGTCTGGACCCATGTTTCTGCTTCGTTGCTATGAACCTTCACTAAACACTGTATTGGAACAATTTCACGACACTGTTTTCGCCCGAGTGTCAACAAACGCGGCAGCCATCGTGCATAGGAAACCTGTTGTACTTAGGACGGTTTTTTTTAAAAAATTTATTTAAATTCAATATTGTGTACACAAACGATTTTTCCATATTTTAGGAGGTCACTTATTCGAGTATCCTCCAACAAAAAATTAGAAATGTTATGTTACATATTCACATGTATTTAAGACGTTTGAAAAAATGGCAAAGATGGCCAAAGTACAACACACCCTATGTACCTTGGTCACTATCAGGGTGTACCTAGGACAGATCAAGAAATTGGGGGTAAAACATGGACAATTAAGGAGACTATTGACTTTTATATACTACAGTCGTTTTATTCAGATCTAATCTAATCTAGATCTAATTATATCAGGTATCCGTGTTAGGAATCTACCTATCGTACCTGACAAATCTTGGGAAATGAAATATTTAAACAATCATCTTTATAAACGATAATTAAGTACTTCTTTTTTAACTTCATACTCAGTCATAAGGACTAGCGTTTATTAGAATATTATCAATATCTAGGTATATTATTAGGTGTGAAGCGTTTAGCAGAAATCCTAGTACTTCTTTATCTCCGGAACATAAGCAACTTCTCTGTTTTTGTTAATTCTTTGACGTGCTTACATTTTTTCTTTAATGTTATTGGTTGGGTACAGATTCCCTCTTTTTCTGACCATTTCCAGTTCTTAGGTGATTTTTGCATGGATTTTAACAAAACACCATCTTCAGACATTGACTCAATCTTCCCAACGAAATAGGAACCTTCTTATATGAATATAACATAGTCTCCAATATTGTAATCAACTTTATTCATACTTTCGGTCTGTAAGGTTTCAGTTTCACTGTCATTATTAGAGACATCTTCAGATGTCTCACTCAGCAAATAATTGACACAATCTTCACTGGTTTCTGAAGGTCTTCTCTTCTCTATCTCTAATTTTAGATATGTTTTTAGTCACAAATTTTTTACTCGTATTTGCAAACAGATTTATGGACGTTGATTTAGTTGCGACACGTTTTTTAGCCTTCATATTTTCAATTTCTTGCTTTTCAGGTGTATCAGTTAGTATACTGGATCGTCCTTTTTGTCTTCCCTTTCGTATTCCTTTATGAGGATCGGCTTTTGGGTGAGGACGAATCATAACTGGCGATATCAACGTTAGTGATTTCGGGCTTAAACCTTCCTGACCTGAAGTGGTCGACTGATCAAAAAGCTCCTCATCAATTCTGGTAGGTGATGTTTCGACTGGTGGACGATCAGAAAAGGAAGCGCGCACAAAATCAGCATCTGTAAAGATGTTTTCATTCAAAGGATGAAAACCAGTCGAACTAAGACCTTTAGAAATATTGTTTGATGTGAAGGCAAGAGGAAAACTTTTTCCACGAAGCCAGCAATATTATAAATAGTTAATGGGTTTCTCACAGGGCCTGGAGTCATGAGTAACTCGTTCGTCGCTGTATTAAAATAGGTCTTAAATGGCCCTAAAACAGACTTGTCCAATGGTTGCTAGTATGTGGATGGAGAGTCATACGCGTTACACCATTATATTTTGCCATTTGTAAAGCTGGTACTGAAATGTGACTTTCATGATTGTCTAATAACATAATGTTAGGACGTTCCTTGGTAGGCTTTGTATATTTGATAACATGTTGAAGAAATTTCACAAACATAGATTCGTTCGACCAACCAGATGGATTAGCACCTCCAATATTGCCTTCAGGAGCTCCAGTTAACATAAAATCCTTAAAGTTTACACGAGGGAATATCAGCATAGGTAGGACAAAACTGTCACCTGCATTAACAGCTGCTGTCATTGTTACTGTCGTTCCTCTTTCAGCACTAGTCACTGACCCAACTTGCTTTTCGCCCAGAGGTGCTAATGTCTTGGGAGAAACATGGACAGTTGACAACCCAGTTTCGTCTTAATTCCAGATATCTATCGCTGTTATGTCAGGAGAACAATTAGAAAGGGCTTTCTTGAAATTATCAAATGTTATGCTCATTGTATGTTTATTAAACGCCGAAGCGAGCCAAACTCGTGGCTTCAGGCTTTCTCAAGGATAGTTCGTTCTAGTATCGCTTCCTAAATAACCGGAGCCAATAATCTCCGGCCATTTTATTAGTGTCCCAGCTTTTAGGGTACGTTTTTTCATGGGTATCCCATCATTGGACCAACGGAATGAGGAATTTGAAGTTAATTGCTTGAAACTGAGTTAGATAGATTTATGGTAGCCTTCTCGAGTTTGTAAGAGAATGATAATTCTAGAAGTTGTTCATTTTTCTCTGCATCTTCTGGGAAAATCTGGAAATGGTTTATCTGCTCACTCCATTTTGGGTTTTTCATAGAAAATTTTGAATTGATTTGTGGGTTCAGGAATATTTCATCTTGAAGAAAAAAAGAGAATTGAAACTTTCTATGTTTTATACCACTTTTATTTGTAACTGAAGTTACTGCAGTAATGTGGTAAGAAACAAAGTTTTAATTCCCTTTTCTTCATTATTATTTCCTACCACGTAGTAATGGCTACATCCATCAATTTAATATTGCATCTAATTTTTGAGTAAACGGAAGAGCACCCAATATCGATGTGGCAGCCAGGAAACGACTCACCAACTAATCGGCTTCGTTAAGAAGCTGAGTTTATTTGGTCGAGTGTGAATAGGTTTGAGCCACAATAACCCCTTGCGGGTTTCGGTGGAGGGTCGAATAGGCCCACTTACTTTGGACCTAACCTAACTTAACCCCTTTGAATGGCGATACTGATTCTTTGAATTATAAATGAATAGGCTCGGTTGTCACTGGTAGAGTTCGTCATTCTTCCACCAATTTCTTTCAACAATTCAGAAGCATGAGACCCAAAAACACCAAAGGCTACGATTGCAAAAGAAAAAAAAACAATTGAAGTACTGTATGACCTCATAGAGATTTAGAGATTTAGTAGAGATTTAAATTTCTGTGAAACTGAAAAGTGTGAAAAATTCTTAAAACTTTCATACTTACCCAAATAAATCAACGTCGCTACCCCTATCCGGATTTAGCGTTCGTAATCTAGCTCGTGCTTGTTCGCCGGAAACGATGACACTAAAAAAGTGTATATCATTAGTACCTTTCAGTTCTAAACCAAGCAATAAAGTAAGAGAGGAGATTGATGGCGGAATAAAGTTGTCTGGATGTTTTCCATTTCTTTATTTCTTTATATGCTTTTGACGAATAGGCACGGAAAGCCTTTTCAGTGCTGACAGTGGCGTAGAACAGGGAGTGACTCCACGATTATTTCTATTTTTTATTTTATTTCATTTTGTTCATTTATCTAACGGACAGCACCCAATATACAAACATATTTTCACAAAAGCTCTACATGAATACTTATAATTATGATCAATCAAGATCAATTGAGATCAATCGAATCAATATAAGTTAATATTGATGAATTTGTGAGTCTTTTAAATGCCATATTCATTTTCTAACAGAAATCGAAGAATATTTCGATCAGAAATGTATATGACATTCCTTTCGGGGGATTAGCGAAAAAAACAAATAGTCTGGTGATTCAGGATCTTGAAAAGTATCATAAACTAGCAAGCATTTTTTGAATTTTTCAATAAACACAGAAAAATATCCATAAAATTTGTTTCGGTTTTTTGAAAATCACTATTTTCATAGTTCCACATTATATTTCAATTTCAATTTATGAAATTCGTTAAAAATAATTGAAATTTTATGATGCTATTGAATGAAGCATTGGGAAACATAAACATTGAGAAACATGAAACATAAAGTTCTGAACTCATATGAAATCAAGGCCTGCCTAATTTACTACGCGAATAAAGGTTGTTTTAATAGTTTTTCCGTTTCAACTTCATTTGTTTTTGTAGATCCAAGTCTCAATAAATATTTATTCTGATCTGTCATGGTACCTACTATTCGATAGAGAGTTTTTCCTCTATACATTGATGCTAACCAGATCGATTTTTGGCCAACTTTTCTCGATGAATTCAAATTGAACCAAAACGCTACCGAAACCGCTCGAAAAATTAACCAGGCATTTGAAAATTAACTGTTCGATGTTGATTTGCATAATTTCATTCCGGAGAATTTAGCTTCGAAGATGAGCCCCAAAGTGGTCAAACTACAGTAACCCAGGACAAGTGAGAACTCTGACGAAGACAGACCCATCACAAACAGTGTATGGGGTGGCGAAAGAACGGGGCATCAGCGCAGATGTATTTTTTATGGTTGAAAACGTATTAGAAAGAAGTCCGATCCTGCTCCATGACGGCGGTCTCCACACGTTTCACAAATCACCCTCCGAAAATCAACCGAATTACCTCACCCACCATACTTCCCAGACCTCTCGCCAATAGACTACCATCTTTCCAGGCGGGTTGGCTGTTCTTGTTCATCTTTCACTGCCTGAACCACTGTGCATGCTGTTTTTGGCGAGTGCATTGGCTTGGGATGTGGGGGTTGAGCAAACCGGCCATCAGATGCCTGCTTCCACGTAGCTCCGCTGGATACGGAAATGATTGAATCACTTGTGGTTCTGTTATTCCTTTACTGAATGGCATCCCAATGATGCCGATGGCTTGATACTAAGTTGTGTGTATCCGTGCCGAGAGGATGAATGACACTGAGCCTATCAGCTGTATCAGCGGAACCTTCGAGATACCGGGCGCCTTCTCGTCGTAGCATCGCCTCGTCACGGTAATGCGGGTCTCTGCCATGATTGACTTTCTTTCCCGACGACTGAGTCGTGTCCTCAAGAACGGGGTACCTCATGAAACCGCCTTGCACCAGGTGGAGGAACAAATCACCCATGAGCAGATTAACAAACGTTTGCGCTCAAGTGATGATTTACCAAAACCAGAGGCAAAAAAAGCCCTGCACGGCATCATCGGGTATAGCTGATGTGCAAAAACCGTCATTTGAGAAGGTTGTCGCGGGTATTAAGGTGGGAATCTTGCATCTTGACTATCCGACTACCTCATTAACGATAGAACAGCAGAGCATATACTTTGTGCCTGCCTCGTTGGAGACCGAATCAGTTTTTTGGAGTTTGGCAGAGCCGTACTCTTACCATCTGATCTGAAAGACCACTCACCATACAAACTAATCGGCTTCGTTAAAAAGCTGGGCTTATTTGGTCGGGTGTGAATAGGTGTGAGCCACAATGAACTCTTGCGTGTTGCGGTGGAGGGGCGAATAGACCCACTCACTTTAAACCTAATCGAACCTAATTATCTTTCCAAGAACTTCGATAACTTTCTCATTGGTAGAACCTTCACCAATCAGAACCAGCAATGACGGTCTTCGTTGACTTCATCAAGCCCCAGCTCGTTTTTATGCTGAAGACTTATTCAAATGTCATTTATGTGAATGAGTATACAACGAGATATTAAAGTTTGATGTAGACTCATAAAAATGGACAAAACTTTTTGAACAACAAATCAATCATGGAGTTTGAATAATACTTCAAATCAAATATCAAAACAATTTGTTACGGAACATGACTCCCACGAAATTTTCTGTATCCTCTCCTGATTGCTGACTGATGAATAAACGAACCTTTTTCGATGATTTCAATTTTTGTAGTTCAGTGAAGATACTACGGAATATGTTAAATTCTATAAGTCAAATGCCATGAAAATATTGCCACATAGTTTCACTGCAACATTTCCTCGAACTACGCTCATTTGAGGTTTGAAATGTCTCATTGTGAAAACCATTTTGGTATGTTGTTTTTTTTTATTTCATGATATTGGAAATATCCAATTTCAGAAGTCAGTGTCATCAAATTTACAACAGAATGCTTTTCACAAATAACTACAGATCAGTCGCTTTGCTATCAGTAATATCAAAAATCATGAAGAAAGTTTTGAAGCACCATATCCTCGCATATTTGGAAGGCTTCAACATCTTGAGCAATCATAAATATGGCTTTCGGAAACAAAGATCAACATGCGAACTTCTATCGTATGTCACCCCTATTTGGAATAACGAAATCAAGAAACATGGAGAGTCAAGAGTTGTTGCGCTTGATATTTCTAAGGCCTTTGACCGTGTGTGGCATGAGGGTTTGCTGGCCAAACTTCGATGATATGGTTTGTCGGATCATTTCACCATCAACGCTGGTGATCCTCAGGGATCCATAATGTCTCCAAACCTCTTTTTATTGGATATTAATGACTTATTGAAAAAAAAACAAGAATTCAAAATATTCCTTTGCTGACGACAGCACACTTGTCTTGTATTCCATTTGGATTCCAGGACATCAGTTACGAAGGCACAGGATGCAACAGGAGGTTGCATATCTTAATGGGGATCTAGAAGTAATTTCAAATTGGGGTGAAAGTAACTGGGTTCATTTCAATGCCACAAAACCCAGGCAACGATTTTTTCCAAAAAGATGAATGTTTACGAACCAAATATAATAATGTTAGGTCAGACAATTCCTTTTTCTGCTTCAATAAGTTTGTTGGGGCTTATAATGGACACCAAAAAGCATTGGCACAATTATGTCGTTGGAACTGCAAAGTCTGCTTCTCAAAAGCTTGGAACACTGTTCTGACCCAGAAAACTGTACACACCTCAGCAACTTTTGATGCTTTATAAAGCTCAGATCAGACCTTCTTTGGAGTATTGTTCTCATGTATGGAGCTCTGCCCCCAAACATACTCTGAAGTTGCTGGATTCTATTCAGAGCCATTCGTCTAATTGGAGACGCGAACTTCACTTGCAACCTCAATAGCCTGGAACATCTAAGAATGGTTGGAGATTTGTCTCTCTTTCATAGAGTTTTCACGGAAAGTGTTCAAGTGACTTGGCACATTTGATTCCACCAAAAGCGGTACAGAAATACTGCTCATCGTTTTGAGATTCAACTCAGTACACCTCGAACTTCATCGTTCAAGAACTCTTTCGTCTGAAGAACTGCGTTTATATGGAATAAACTTCCTGAGAACGTTTTTCCAAATTGATTCAATCTCCAGCGATTCAAATACAATGTGAATCGCTACTTTCGCACAGGCACCGATCTGAGAGCGCCTTAAAGATTTTCCTGTAGTGCTTGTATTTTTTCTTGAAAAAAAAACACATTGCGAATCATTTCTGTGGATCACTACATTTTTCCAAAAGCCATACAAAAAATTAAAATTTACTAAAAAAAATATTCCGAGATTACGTTGAAAAAATTGTTTATACATCTGAAAAAATCATCTCTAGCATTCGACAGCTGCTTGTATACGTAAAAAACCTCCAATTAGAATAAAATGAAGTTTCATTTAGAAATTTCCAAATGGAAATGACGATTGTGATGAATCCGTCGGAATTTGTATCTGATGATGACAAAGAATGAACCAATATTGATGAATATAATGATGAATCATGAAATTTTCAGTCGGATACGATAGTTGGCAAAAAAAAACTAGTAGGTATATTATTATTGTGAATTTGGGTGATGATTTTCTCATTTTCCAAACCAAATTTTAGTATGAATTGAATGAAGTTTATTTTCGAGAGTAGGAAGCCAGAATGTATTTTTGCCAAACATTTCAGTTATTATTATCATTATTTATTTTGAATTAATTGAATACGTATTCATCGGGATATGACATTTGAAGTAGACGCATAGAAACGGACTAAATACTTGAAACAACATAATAATACATAAAGAGTTCCAGGTACTTGGTCACCATGTTCGACAATAGTTGAACGCTATTTATACCTTTTTATTTATTTATTTAATGGTCATAAAAATTTAAAACAGAAACCAGGTCCACTAGAGTATCTATATTATAACAAAATTCGTATATCTTCACAGTAGTAGCTATAACACTATTACATAATAATAAGTTGTAAATCTCCTGACATGATAGTAACAATTCAACTTTTGACTCGAACAGTTTACCTGTTCTATTTGTATGAATCGAAAAAAAGAATGAAAAGGATGTCAAGCCTTCTTCACTTTCAGGGTTTCATGGTTTCACACAGTGTCTAGCATTCAAGATGGAAACTATTGGAAAAAAAACAAACAATATTTGTTGTGGAAATATACAGGTTCACATGGGCTATTTTTGAGGGTA